CAGAGAACTTCTGGCATAGGAACCTCTTTGGACTCCTCCACAGTAAACAGGACTGCACATAAAGCCATTTTAGCTTTCTGCTGATGGCTTCATCATCAAATATTTCTTTCACTTCTTCATCATCTGTTGGCCCTCCTGACTCCAGCACCTTTCTTGCTTCTGATGTACTTGGAAAAGATTTTTTTTTTTTTTTTTGCTATTAGTATGATATTGCTTGCAGTCTTTCTGGCCAGTCCTTATATTTTTAATCTGACTTGCCAGAGTTCACGTTCTTATTTACTTTTCTGGTCAATTTCATGACTTGAACTTTCTGAAGGCTGTATTCTTATTTCTAATACTTTCTTTATCCCAAACTGCATGCTCATTCTCATCTGTCAACATTCCACAGTATAATTTAAAATCTTCCCAACAACATTTGCAATTTGAAGCGCAGAAGCCTAGTTCTGCTGTGGTTTATATGGAACCCAGCCTTTCCAAACAGCTTCTGGACTGAGGTTCAAAAAATGAGCCAATTCACTTTGTCAGTACCAAGTCAAGATCCTACTGTAAGAGGGCCTTCTCAGCTCATACAATTTCAACAGAGCAGATAGGAGGCAAAGAACAAAGAGCCTCCAGGTGTAAGATGTAAGAGAAATGAAATGTTAGCAAAGAATGCAAACAGAGATAACTGGTACTTGGAGAGCTGCTAGTTCTTTCAAACCACTGACACATGCAAAGACAACCTTCCTTAAAACTGTGAAGATGAGGAGGAGGAATCACTTTGTACCCATCCACACTCGCGATCTGCTCCAAATGTGACAGTTCAATCAGTCAGAACACGGTCAGGCGAGACAGGACTATTTATTGTTGCAAAGCACCGCTAATTAACTGAGCAAAGAGATTGAATTCAGCCCTGTTTCTGATTAAAAACAACGATAAAAAAAAAGCAAAGAAAACCGCCACAACTGTCAGAGCTTGAGGAAAGAAAGACCTCATATTCGTTGTGGGTGTACTGCCCAATTTTCCTCAGTATTCTAGTGACTCTCCATCTGTTCCTTCTACTAGGGACCTTGGTCATGAAAACTGGTCAGAGAAAGACAGTCAACCTTGTTCTGATTAGTTTAATTAGATGATTCACTTAGGAAGGACTGGCTGTTAGTTGTGTGTATGCAACAGTGGATGGCAAATATCTTAATCAAAAGGTGGTCTATGGACACCTTAGCTCTTTTGCTGCATCAAATGCCCTTCTCAAGTGAAAACATGATGACAGGGAAAGAAGAGAGGATGGACATATCAGAGTTGTTCTACCAATTCCAGTTATGCTTTTGGTAGCTTTAGTTCACAGTCCAGAACAAGGTGGGAAGACAGATCACATCAAGGCCTGAAGGCACCCAGACACCTAACAACAGTGTCAAATGGCTTAAAGCAACGGTAACTTAACCAGTGCACCGGAGACAGTCTTTTGGGATATTTGTGCTTATTTTTGAGATGAACCCCAAAATAACAGGCAGCCACTTCTTTCTACATAGCTACTAGCTATTTATACCTTGCTCAATGTCTCAGGAAAGGAACCAGGCCAAGAGGCAAGAAGTAGAGGATTTTCATCGTGCATTCAGTTGTGTGCCTGTGCGTAGCTGTATCCCTGGGAATGAAGGTAAGCTGCTGGCACGTGCATTTGTTTTGCACAGCACTGTTCTGTATCATGGGGTTTCATCCTTGTTTACTGGAAGGGCCTCCCCACAGATCAATTTCAGATGTAAAGGGCATGCTGGCTAGCCTTATCGACACGCTAACTTCCTCAAACTCACTGATTAAACTTTTCCTCCACATTAGTTAAACTGCATTTGAACATAAGTCACAAGACACCAGAGCAGTACACGAGAGTTTAAATGGATGTGGACTAACACATGAGCCAGATTCGAGTTCAGTATAAAAGGTACAAGATAGCGTCCGAGTAGAGACTTGGAAAGAACCTAATGATATCACAGCAGCAGGGAGTAAAATGCTATGGAGAGACTGAAAAAGAAGATACAATAGGCTAGTGAGGAGGTAGTAGTCAAGGTCAGAAATTTCTAGGGCTGCATGGACCACAAAAACGGTGTAAAGAAGAGCCATCAGGGTTTGGGGCAATGTAAATACGTTGCGAGAAAAAGACAAAGTGTAATAAGTAGGAAAACCAACAGTTATAATTAAAAAAATCAGAACAGGCAATAATATTTCTAAGCCCCTCCAAACTATCAAATTGGTTTTATTTGGAATTTGCTTATCTGAAGAGCCATCGCTAGTCCTATATCCTGGTGGCAGTTAAGATCATTTAGGATGTTTTTACTGTCAATTCCTGGCTCGGAGAACTCCCCGCCTCTGGCGCTCAATTGTTGTGGCACTCAGCCAGAGCATGAGTTTGGTCAACTAGGAGGGATAACATAAGAGTTGCTCAGCTGAGCTCTCTGAGTTTCTTTTGCCCTGTGTGTGAAGGTGCATTTAGATCTTGAGACATTATTAAAAAAAAAAACCCAAAACAACACACTCATATTCTAGTGTTAAATGATACGAATCGCCCATTAAAATTAATTTATGTCAAGCATTTATGCTGAATATGCTGTTAGGCATTCCAGTGAACTAATTAAAATGAAATAAGGCTAATGGCAAATTTTCTTTTTTTAAACACGCAACCTAGGTCCAAATCAGAGCCAGAATTAGTCTGTGTATTTGAAACACAAACGCCAGTGCTGTGTGGCTGGAGACCTGGGTAAGGCCAGAACAGGGCAAGGGGAGGGCACACAGGTGCATTAGGAGAGCCTTCAACAGAAAGTATTTTCACAAACAATCTTTTCAGAGAGGGAGAGATTTCATATTTCCCTACTGAAAAAAAATAAAAATTCCTGAAATAAAGCCGTTGGAGAAACTAATACCTTGAGTCACAAACAACACTCAGGACAACTAAAACTAATCTTTGAGATTTCTGAGATAAAAAGAGGGTTATAAAAGTTTGCTTTCAGAAGTAGTGCACTATTTTAAAATCACAGAGACAGCAGAACGGTTACCTAGTCTAAGTTTGGGGAGTTGGGGGGGAGAGGAGAAGCAACAACGGACCCAACGGACCCCAGGCAGCTCTTAGGATTTCTTTTTCTCTGAATCCTGCACTACATACAGAAAGGGTGGGTGGGAACCACAGCTCCCTGCCACACACAGGTGAGCTCTACTGGGACCGAAACAAAAGCTGGATGTGAGGCAGCAACTAAAAACAAACAAACTCCTGTTCCAGACACCTCGCAGAGACAGACTTGAAGGGATATCAAAGTAGTTAAGGCATCATTTGACCACATATAATACAGACACTCAGGACAAAGTAATAACTTTAACCCTATAAACCTCTATAAGAAGTTTTTGGTTTTTTTTTTTTAGACCCACGCACAGCTGAAGTTGTCTCGGGGCTCCTCTCACTCCCGCAGGAACGGGCACCCTGGCAAAGGCGGCTTAAGTAGCGCTTAATTTTAAGCTGGGTAATTTTCAGTCTAAGGCGAGGCTGTCGTGGCAAACGAAGCCCATCGCTCTAACAGTTCCTTTTTAACCCCAAACCGAGCTCTTTGCTACACACTTGTCCGCGTGCCCTCGCCCTGCTGAGGCTGCACCGGCTCCGGTAACGGAAAAAAAAAAACAACAACCCACAACAAAAAAGAAAAAACTAAAAAAACCCACCCCACCGTCAAAAAAGCCACGACCAAAAGTTTGCAGTTACACCCCGAAAGGCGGTTTCTCCCTCCCCTGCCCTAGCCAGAAGTTTGAACCGGGAGGGATTTCCGCCGGCGCTGGCGCCCCCCGGGCCCGGCGGGAGGGGGGGGTGAGGGGTCCCCGTGGGCGACCCACGCGTGGCGGCGCGGCCCCGGCTCACCCCCGGCTCCGCGCG